TCTCAGACCTGTTACCTGATATCCTTTTGTATTAAAGGTGCCATGACAAACTGAACTTGAGACCTTATGCCAGCAAAGCATGTACTCTACCAGACGTGGCTTCAATAGAGAACATTTAGATGGTGCCTCCCCATTGGAGCTAAAAAATAATAAACGATGGACAATTTGCTCTCCTTTAATTATTCCTGAAAAAGTTGTTGATTTTGAGAGCCACCTGACTACCACCTTGCTATAGCAACATTACCCACCACCACCTATCATCCCCATAACAAGATGCATCAGATCCGGCTGCATGTCTAACTGATGGAGCTCTCTGGGAAATGAGCAAGCACGTCAGTCACTTTATGCATCATCTCTATGTGCTTTTCTCATAACTGTCACATTGTGTGCCAAAAATAATGAAACTACTCGAAGCTAATTAAATCCACTTACACGTCACTTGCTACTTACAGCACAGATGCAAGTGGCACACCCCTCAACATCAACGAAAAGTTGATGTCGTTTTTGCCTACTAACAAGATTAAACTTTGCAACTGCAAGGCATACTCTGTGAGGGAAAAGGTTAGGCTTCCTCACAGGTCCAAGGCTTTCTTTTCCTGAGCAGCAGCACCATCTGCTGGTTACTGTTAAGTGCGGCTTGAAACACAGAGGGCAACAGCATTCACGAGCACACCCACGCTCTCTTCAGTTCCTTTCAGGCAATTAGCCTTAGTTTGTAGTCATTCATCAGCATGAGGTAATTGTTTCAATTTTAATGAGCCCTCTGGCAGCTTCTGTGGAGGTTTTTAAACAGATCCCATTCTCCTTGCTTCAGTCTGAAAGAAAAAAATGAGTCCGATCTTTTCTTCCACGGTGAAAGGTTTAAGATGAATTAAGGCTGAACAGTAATGTTTATATAAGGAAACTGTGTTAAGTGCTACACAAAGCAGAGAAACGAATACACACACACAGGGGTCATTTCCTGCGGGAGCACAGAGGAGCGGAGCTCCAGCAGTAAGGAGCCCAGGGGGCGGGAACATGCAACAAGCCCCCCCCCTGCTCCCAGCAGCCATCAGTTGGGCCATGAGGAGCAAGAAGCAGCCAGGTAAGTTGCAGAGCCCCCCCCCCCCGGCCCGCCTTCAGGTACAAGATGTCAGGTTAGATCTGTGCGTTTCCCCCCCTCACCAGTAGCTAGAAATCCAAAACAGTCCAGTGGAGCCTGAGTGGTGAGTGTTGCCTTCTGACACACTTCCAGAGGGTGTGACATATGCAAATAAGTTATGCTAATAAGTTATGCTAATGAGCTCCTGCACCTCTTTTTCTACGAAATGACCCCTGCACACACACATTCACACAGAGAGAGTGATAGGTACATGTTGGCAATAAACAGGACTCCCTCAACTGACTAGCTTTAATCTCCTGTCAAGTACAAACAGGAGGTGCTTTGGCTTCTGGATTTTACAACACATTATAAATGCACGATCCAAGAAAGAAAGGATCCATTGTGCCCTTCACTGAGCCCTGAAGCACAATGAGGCAGAACTTGCTTAATTCCCACCGTAGCGGCTCTCTCCCATTTGCCTGGCTTGGGCCTGGTCTGCAAGAGAGATAGCAGAGGGGACTGTACCACTTCAGTGGTGGTGGTGGGAAGTGCTGTCAAGTCACAGGGGACTTATGGCCAACCCCATAGGGTTTCCAAGGCAAGAGATGTTCAGCGGTGGCTTGCCATTGCCTGGCTACACGTCACGACCCTGATATTTCTTGGAGGTTCCCCATTCAAGTACTAGCCAGGGCCGATCCTGCTTAGCTTCTGAGATCTGACAAGACTGGGCTAGCCTGGGCCATCTACTTCAGACTGCAGGTAAATCACATGCCTAAATCCTCCTCTCGTGTTTCTAAAAGAGCAGCAACATCTCCCTGCCGGTGAAAAACTAACACAGCTGGCCTCAGATGTTTATTTGTGCTATGGTTTATTTTCAGGGAGTTCATTTAAACAGGGGAATAGTCAAAAATGGCACCCTCCACCTTCAGTGCTCATTTGCTTCACCACCTCTGGATTCTAGAGCAGGGGTCCCCAACCAGTTTGATCCTGCAGGCACCACTTGGGAGTTTGACGCAGGGTGGTGCGTGCAACCACAACATGGGTGCTGTGGGAGGCAGAGCCATACACAAGCCCAGAGGAAGTGTGTGGGGGGGGGGAGAAGAGGGGTAGGTTTTAAAAATATGTTGGGAAAGAGAAGTGAGAGAGAGAATAAAACCAACACGGGGGCAACTGCTGCTGAAGCAACATTATTTCTATCTGCGTAGCTGATTGAATCTCCAGCAGCTTACCAGAAGATGTGCTGGGCAAGAACCTCACCTGGATCCACCCACTTTCCAAAAACATTTGGCAGGTGCCTGTGTCAGCAGGCACCACGGCACCCTGGGGCACCACGTCAGAACAGCTTCGTTCCAGTGGATATGAAGACCAGGCTTGCACTTGCAAATCAGAGCAAACAGGTGAAGTGCATTGAGAACTGTGCCAAAACATGTTGGTATGGATGGTGGGGAGCAGGGCTATTTTGGGGCAGGAACAAACAGGAACGGTGTTCCGGCTGGCTCCTGAGTTGGCCACGCCCAGCAAGAACTCATTAGCATAATAGGCCACACCTAACAGCAGACACTCATTAGGATTGGCTACATTAGGGGTGTGTGGCCTAACATGCAAAGGAGTTCCTGCTACAAAAAAAGCCCAGGGTCTTGACAACAAAGTAAACAGAATAAGAAGCAAAAGGTGGGTGTGGTTGGATGACCACACTTCTGGTAACGTGGGGTGTGGCCTAATATGCTAATGAGCTGTGCTGGCCTAATATGCTAATGGATTTCTTCTGTTGGGTGTGGCCTATTATGCTGATGAGTTCCTGCTGGGCTTTCTCTACAAAAAAAGCCCTGGTGGGGAGGATTAAGGAAGAGATTGGATTTCTACCCCACTCTTCACTCAGAGTGGCTTACAATCTTCTCCCCTTCCCTTCCGCAAAACAGATACCCGGTGAGGTAGGTGGGGCTGAGAGAGCTCTTTCAAGGACTGCTCTTGAGAGAACAACTCCGAGAGAGCCATGACTGACCCAAGGTCACACCAGCAGTTTTATGTGGAGAAGTGGGGAATCAAACCCAGTTCTCCCTGATTAGAGTCCATACTCTTAACCACTACACCAAAGAGATCTTTGTCTGTGTCACAGCACGGGAGAAAGCAACAGAGGGCTGAATTGGGAACAAATACATGACAGTCAGAGAAGAAGGAATTCTGGCACTATCCAAGTTCTCTTTGTTCCTTTTCCTATCTGTACTCCTAGGAGACAGGAAAGAAGGGGAGTAATGGCCTTGTGAATACTCACATGGCTCTTTCCCCCATCCTATACTTCCTTCTGTGTTGCACTTCTTTCTGCCTATTATAACCCTGCCCGACCATAAGGGTTTGGGGTTGCCAACTTCCAGGTGGGAGCTGGAGATCTCCTGGAATTACAATTGATCTTGACTACTGCACAGTTCCCCTGCAGAAAATTACAGCTTCAGAGGGAAGACTCTGTGCATCACATCCCTGCTGAGTTCTCTCCCATCCTCAAACTTCTCCCTTTCCAAGCTCCACCCTCAAATCTCCAGGAATTTTCCAACCTAGAACCACATCGGTGCGGGGAAATGTCCCTTTGATAGATGCTTAATTGGATTTTTTAATTAGGTGACATTATTTTTGTACATGCCATGAAAAGCTTCAGTTGCCCATTTCTACACATTAAGCCTCTACTGAGGGAACAGGGCATTTTTCTCCAGGTTTGTTGGGAACCCTCCTGTCCACTTATTTTCTAAGAATGTCAGCCAGCTATGAGAGATCGTTGCAGATGCGTATTGCCCCTTCCAATAGCGCAGTTATCCTCAAGGACCCACCACGAGCACCATTTTTTCCCACACGCGAAGAGATGGCAAGCATGGGCTTTACACTACTCAAGCAACCGCAGCCCCACCTGTCTTGTACCCATTTCTCACTTGTCACCACTCTAGCCTGTCTTACCCATTTTGGTTGTTTCTGTGCATTGCGTCTGGTAAATCTACTGTGTAACCTGTCCATCATGACTGGCTTAAACCAAGTTGGAAAACTGTTCTAAAACTAAACTGTGTGATCATATGCAACATTCATTGGCCAGGTGAATGTTATTAAAAACCCAAGGGATGGCAATATCAGCCCCCAACACACACATCACTCATCATGATGATCAAACTTATTAATAAAAGCAGAGTCAGTATCTAGGACTATGCCATGGGCCGGCCTGCACTCTCTCACCTAGTACCACCTATTGATGATTGTGGAAACATGTTGTTAAAACACGAAGGTCGTTTTTCTTCCGATGCAAGAAGCTGAAGGGTTGAAACATATTTTACTGGGAAATAGCCTCATGTGGGTACCAGTTTTACTGATGTCAACCAAGAGGGTTTATGCATGCAGTACCAGCATGTTTAGTGCTGTTTTACTATGGGTCCGTGCACAAGTATATTGTGGCTTACAGGCTGCACTGGCCCAGCAAGAAGCAACATAATGTGGCTGAAGCTAAGCAAGGCTAGACTGTGCCCAGATATGAGGCCTTCTAGGAGGCGATGTACACCACCATAAGGTCCAGGGTGGAGGAAAAGTGGAATCAGTGTAACAGATAAAAGTGAACACTGTGTGAGACTAAGCGCTGAAGTTGTGGCTCAGCCAGCAGAGTAAGCATTAGGAAGCCAAGAACACTAAAGCAACTTAGGAGTCAGCTTGTCAGACTACTTCTACTGCTTCTCAAAAACCCCATGGTTAAATTGTATAGAATGATTGGGAAACATCTTCCACATTTTATTTTTAGCAATGCCACTATTTGACAGGGCTACACGCTCAATGCTTTAAACAGTTGAAATTCTTCATCCATGCCATCCAGATTCCATGCCAAGAAAAATCAAGCTCTACCACCTGTACAAACTATGAGGGTCGAGCAAATTCACATAATTTCACTTATTTTGCCCAGTTTATTCGTTTTGTTAGTTCGCAGAGGAGGTGAAGAAACGAAAGCCCCGTGCACGAGACCTGTGCTCAAGCGGCTGCCTTCTGTGATGCCACCAGGCATTGCCCACATATGTCCAAGCATGTACTGGTGCAGCCATGAGGACTATATTCCCTCCACTTTTAAACAAAAACTTTAGGGAAGTCATTTCTATACTGCCCAACACACTGTGTTTCTTCTGCACCCCCGTAAAATCACCCAGTACTCATAGCCCTCCTGACAGTCTTGCTTACAAATGGGAGCTCAAAAGAAAGAAGGTTGCAACCGGGCCTCCGTGAAGTTTCCAGGTGGAAAGACCTGAGATCTTCAGACATCACCATTTCTTATTGTCAACATCTTTCATTATACTGAGACTAAAAAGCTTTCCAAGTCATTAAAGACACAGGATCCTTAGATTCTTCATAAATGCCCTTTATCTTGAAAGGAAAACTATAATCACAAAGTAAACATAGTTTTGCAGTTACAATTTGCTCATATCTAATAGTGTACACTGTTCCAGCATTAAAACAGTATGAAGAACCTAGTTTGTTGAGCTATGTCCAAAGCTGCACAGCACAATGCATACATCTGAACATAAAATAATATTTTTCAGTTTAAAAGGAGAAACATAAAGGAACCCGTTATATGTGCATTTTCAAAGGAGCTCCCAACAAATATGCTGCCTCCGTTTTATTTCTTACATGAAATACTTCTATTTGCTTGTTTCTATATATGTAGGCATATTATTTGATGATGCAGGAAACACTGCTGACATTGAAAGCACACATCCATGTGTAGCTTTGGGACAAATATTTCTGAAGGTTAAACACCCAGTAACTGCTTGCAAGAGCAGGATCCCAAGTGGCTTGTGCACATATTTTATAATGAGCCGCAACAGTGAGAAACTGCATTTGTGCTTCTAAAACCCATCCCCACATGTCCTGTCTGGAGCCACCAAATTGCAAGTTTTAGAAGTTTGCACACAGACATGGTGAAAGTTAAAGTGTATTAACTGAGGCAGTCTTTTTGGCAGAGGTAGAAGTAAATTATGTTCTAATTTTTAATCCAGACTTTTTAAATGTTCTCCAGAACCCACTAACTGATTTAGGAAAAACAGCTGTTGTATTTGTTTTCAACACGAGAAATTAGCTTTATATATTTATTCCACTGTCCATATGCATTAAATGGAATGAAGTTCCATCAATATAAATTGAGTGGAACCTTAAGCACTCAATATGAACTAAAGCCATTATTATTTACTTCATATTTCATTCAGATGTAAGATAAATCCAAATACTGTCTGCCTGGATTGTACACAGAACACAATTTGCAAAACACAAAGACGATCCTGGGGTGGGGGTTAGTTTCTGTGGCTTTCCTGACACAAGCAAAATGCACAAAGAAATACAACAAAAATTAGCTACTTATGTAGCTTGACTCTAAACATCTGATTTACAGTGCAGTGGTTATACTTAAATTTTTCATGACAGAACATCTTCACAATCAATCGATAAAGATATAGTGTATGGTGAACAGTGATAAACCTCATTGTCAGTTCAAAAAGTTGGTTTTTTGAGCTACATTATATAAGGCTTTTCTGGTAACAAGTTATCAAAAGCTGTCTTTGTTAAAGTCACAGAGGCAAGCTTATTTTTTGCCATGGTCTTTCTCTGAATCCAACAGTGCCGAGCGTATTCCCAGTTTCTTCAGTTCTTCCACTAGATCTCCGCTCTGATGCATCTGGAGAAGTATGTCACAGCCTCCCACAAATTCACCATTGAGATAGACTTGAGGGATAGTAGGCCAGTTGGAATAGTTTTTAATTCCTGAATCAGAAAACAAAGGCAGGTTAAGCCAAATGTTCCCAAACACATTAAGACAATTGTTTCTTACTAATGTTTCAGAGAGCCTCAGGCAGGGAGTGGGAAGAGAAAACAGGTGACTTTGTATTGGATAAGTTGGACAGAAGACACCGTTTTGAATGTCATGTATTATCCTTCCTTCCCTCCACCACTGCTAAAAGGCTGCAATCCAAAGAACAGTTTCCTGGAAGCAAATCCCCTTAAATAAAATAGTGATTACTTCTGAGCAGACCTGCTTAAGGATTCTTCCACAATCTCATTGGGATGGGGTATCACTTTTGTAAAGCAAGACAATTATACTGTACGTTATTTGGACAGCGCTGTATGTAATGAACAAGAGATTAAGGCTTAAAGGTTAACTGTTGTATAGTGGTTAGAGCACCTGTCACTGCCTCACAATGTGGAAAATACTTATGTTTCAGGAATGTGGACAATGTCCTTGGCTGGGGCACTTTGAGGTTGGTGGGTAGTTTCCACCTTGAAACAGCCACCAGCAGAGGAACAGGTAAGTTGCAAGCCTCCCTGAGATGCAGAATTCATGACAGGAATGGAAGTAAATGTTGCTTTGTTGTTTAGGATAACTCTGAATGTGCCCGCGGCTAACCTTTTGACTGTTGTTGAGGTTATCTGAAATCATGTTCTTTCTCAAACCTACTACTCTTGCTATAATACTCTTTTGGGGGAGCTAGATATGAGACTCCAGGACTGCAGCTGAATATGTGAAGTATTAAGAAAGTTTAGAAGACATATGATTTCATGGAATTTGACAAAAACTGACATAAGGAAGTGTATTATTTCAGCTGCATTGCCGTTCATTTTTTTTTAATTGAAAATTTATTAAAGCTTTAAAAATACATAAAATTGGAATAAAAATTTAATCAAATAAGGAGAAGGCAGAAGAGATTGGCATAGATAATTATAGGAATGAGACAGGGATTATGTAGAAACAGAAAAATCAGAATGTATAAAGCTCCAGCATGATTGGATTGCTTGGAAGTAAAATGTGTTCTGTCAGGTAGGTGATATATGGAAGCCATTTTGTAACAAAATGGGAAACAGTAGGAGCTGTGTCTCGTTGCATTATTTGATCAATTTTTTCCATGCTATAGAAATCCCAGAATCGCTCTCCAAGTTGCAAGAGAGGGCACTCCATTGGTTTTCCATTTGCTGACCAAGGCTAACTTCACTGCGGCTAACATGGTAAGTATCAGGTGGCAGCTAGATGCTGGAATAGGCTCCTGGTTCCACCAATTAAGGAGGATGGCTTCAGGTTTAATGGGAACTGTGTATCCTGTTCATTTCTTCTTGAACAGGTTGCAACAAAGGATATGGATTCAAATTATATCTCTCTTCCCTTGCCAACATAGTTCAGTCAGAAACTATATGCTGTGTTCTCCAAAGCACAAAACAGAAACCTTTTTAAGGAAAGTTTAATACTTGGACCTTTTTTTGCAACTAAAACATTCTGTTACTACGTTTTAATGTCTTCCTACGCTTATTTGTCAAACAAGATTCCTTCCAAATTCTTTATCTTTTCTTAACAGACCTTGGAGTTTAGGGAGTGGTTACACCAGTACAGTCTCTGACGCATGTTGCATACCCACATCTAAGTTACAAGGACATAATTCTGAAGGTTTTGCATCGCTAACTTGAGGTTAAACAGTGTTGCTTTGGCACTGACAGGCTCCTGAAAGGGCTTGTGTGAATGCCACTGAATCCTTCTACCATGACTGAAGCCAGGGACTTTCAGGGCAAGAAACAGAACTTCTACCATGGGTCCCAGAAGAGTCTTCACAAAACAAGATTGTGAAAAATGAAGACATAATTTTAGTCTTATCTGCTTCTATATTTGCAAAATATATTTTTATTAATATATCTGATCCTCCTTGTTGTATGTAACTATTCATGATATTTGATAACTTTT